ACAATAGGCTTAAAAAACAAATCCATTGTGCTTGAAACAGAAATATTTCAGCACATATTGGGATTGTTTGATACCAAGTTGTCTTTTGAAGTTTTGCACTTCCAAAGTCGACCTTTTAGACATGTTCTTTTGGTCTCGCTGCACTTTAATTTTGCATGTCAACAAAAACCAAAAAAGTGACTTGAAAGAGGATTATAGTCCTCAGGTTTTTGTTTAGTGTGCTGCATGTGAAATCTTTTTCTTTTAGCCTCTTTCCACTGATCTTAAGTCATCTGCATCCGCAGCCCTTAGCTGTCTGACATTTGCCAAGATAAAGGACTCTCTATCCATCTGAACGTCTCACAAACACAGACGAGCCGCTCTCACGGCCAACGTGACCGGCCTGTCGATCAGCACATGCTAACAGTGTTCTCTGCTACATGCAGTGTTGTCCCCTCCAAGCTTTCTCAACACTCTTACTTGCGCGCACACACACACACGCACACGCAGGGAGTCACTGGCCTTATGTACGCTTTGTGACCATTCCTACGCCTTTCCCACGCCAGTGCTGAACTCTGGACTGTAGCCAGAACATTTCCTTCTCGAGTCAAAGTCAAACATCCCGCCTTGTCCCGCTTACAAATATTTGCTTGATTTTTAAAGGATTATCCAAATATTTAACAAATAATTAGCCAATCTGGACTTTAAACACCTAAATAAAAACAAAGTATAAAAATCCACCACATACAGTTGTGGTCAAGAGTTTACAGGCACTCCAAATGGGCATGAATTTAATACTTTCTTCGATCTGTTCTTTTCCTAGAATAGATCTTTTAATAACCTTAAAAAGCAAAAATTGACTTTATTTGGATTTCCTCTAATACACACATGGTCAAAATTACACATGCAAGCTCCAATATATACATAAACTCACGTAAATCTTTTAATAAGTAGTACTGAAGGTTTACACCGTCTTCTAATTTGACTGGCCTGAGGCTTATGAACTTTACTACTGATGTGACCTTTGATTGGAAAGTTGCAACACAGAAGATTAAACAGTCCACCTGTCATTGACATCGACAAACTGAAAAGAACCATCAGTTTATTTTCTCTTTGGTTTTGTTTCCTCATCAGAAGATTACTCACCGGGTTATACGACAATGTGAACGCGTCACAATTTTACGCATGGACAACAAAAACTCAACAACTACTCTCAGTGAGTCATTTCTGAGTAATAAGGAAGAACACTGATTACAATGGCCCTGTTTGAAGCAGTCCTGTTCATGAGGACAGTAGCTGAAATCAAATTCAGCGCAGTTTTATTTAGTGCCAGTCAACAGTCATCTCATGGCATTTTAAATCGTTATGTAAAGACTCTAATAAAAATGA